ACCGGCGTTTTTTGGGAATTTCGGATTTTTCTGAATTTTTTAGCAATAATATNTCGGAAAATAGATAACTTTTAACACATTTTAATGCAAGAAAAATTTTTGGTCGGAGTCCCCCTTTAAAACTGTTTATTTATTCGATTCACAAATATTTCTGATAGCCTTTCAATAAATTTCGACAGAACATTTTCAAATTCTTTGCCAGTTTCAAAAATGCAATAATTTTGAGCTAAATCAGAACTTCTGATTCTGATCACAATTGTCCATTTACCTATACATCGTTACCTACCACCACAATAAATCCTCCGAAACCATAAAAATTTTCCAAAACCACTATCCAAATGATACGATGCAATGATCATCACCATAGAACGAAATGTGTCGTAGCGTTGGAAAAAAGAGGAAGCGAAGAAAAATTCTTGGTCACGAGAAGGGAAAATCCTGTCCGTTACAAAGTTTTATATGCCGATCTTATCTCCTATTTTTTACTTTTCCGAGGAATTCTCACTGTTTCATTATGGTTATCAAACATCGTAAACTCAGGATTCCTGTACTGGATACACCAAACATCTGTGAATGCACCATTAGATATCACCGTAGGGGTCCACTTTGAACAAAATTATCTAGGTTTCTTCAGAAGATATCGAACAATTTTCAACTGATAAAATGTTTGTGAAATTTAGAAAAATGTTTGGTTAATTACTAGGTTTTTGATATCTCTCATCGAAACCGAGAAAACTGACCTGAAAGTGCACATATAGGATGGGCTTCTATTACAGCAAATACGGTACTTGCGAATTGACCGACATACCTGATCATAGCTTTGTATTTTTGATCAATTGAAAAAAGTGTTATAGAATTTGACAAGGGCCACAAAATGATTCTGTATCTTTCTCATGAAATCATCTGAAGTGAAGCTAGATTTTCAGCCCGTTATTTGTATGACCCATAACTTTTTTCATATCAAAGATACAGCTTTTCAATTATACCATTTTGTAGAACTCGCTCAATTCTTTAATATCTATTTTAGCTGATCTAAAAATATTTAAAGCGAGTATCCGATTAAACAACATAACCGAAAAAAGTTCCCAATTTAGGAATTTCGAAAAACAGGTAAAATTATTTAAACTTTTCTGAAAGTTTACAGGAATATCAACCAAAAGCAGATCTCAAATTTTGTTGTGGATAACTTTTTTGTGAAAATTCATTCGAATGAGATACAGTAAGAAATATACAAAAACGTATTTTTCAGATGATTTTCAGTCATTTTGACCATTTTCAGGAGTCTGAAGCTCGGTTGTCAAGTATCCTATCACTTTGAAAATTTGGGAAGGTGTAAAACCGACCTAGATTGTAAACTTTGCATCTATAGTGTTTTTTATAAATTCCTAGTTTTCCAGCTATTAGAAAGACCTGCTTTTTCACATGTTAGTACAAAAAATAGGTAAAAATGAGTGCCTTTCAGAAATCGAACATAGAAGGAATTTTCAGAAAATTCTGTAAATTCAATGTCTTCAATTTTAGTTTGTTTTATACCCTCCAAAATTTTCGAAGGAATCGAAAACTTGACAGCCGAGCTCTAGGTTCCTGAAGATGCCGAAATCATAGAAACATTTTTTCCCGTTCAATATGGTACAGTAAGTCACTTTCAGCTTTTTCCCCGCAAAAATTGTCCAACTTTTTAATTTTCCAACCTTATCGCTTTTTTTGTAGAGGTAAAATAATCCGGTGAAGGTTCAAAAGTCCAAAAATGGGGTTGCCGCCGGACACTGTCTCCCTCTCCGTTTCCCAAACACCCCCTTCCTCTCTTTCTCTGCTCCCTCCTCCTTATCACTTCTCTCTACCACTCTCCTCCACAAACAGTACCCTCTCGCATCACAAAAGATACAATATTTCTCTCCCCCACCGATAGAAAGGCGGGGCCCATAACACTGTTTTCTAAATGTTTCTCTCTGTTTTCTCTGTCCACTCTCTCACTCTCTCACCACCTCTCATGTCACTCATTCTTCTTCTTCTTCTCCTTTCCTTCTTCTTGTCTGGTTTACAAAGTTTTTTTTTCTGTTTCTCTGTCCGATCAGTTTTCTCTAATCCCTCTCATATTGTAATACTATTTTCTCGAACTAACATCTCGCGGGTTTCAAATATTCGGACCTTTTTTGTTTTGAGTTTCGGTGATAGTCTTAGTTTTGACCTAATTAATCTAAGTTTCTGTAAGAGATATGAAAAACCTGTCAACTGATAAAATTTTTATCATAATGTCACTAAAATTTTGTCAGGTGACAAAATTTCAGTATCTCTCATAGGAAACGAGATAATTGAGGCCAAAGCTCAAGTACTGTAGCTTATGGTTTTAAAATCAATTTTAATTGTCAAAAACTTTTAAAAATTCGTATAAACCCCTGAATAAATTGTAAAAATCCGAATAATTTGAAGGTGGAGTCTGTCAACCCCGCGTTCTTCTCCGAACTATAAATTCTGCGAACAAACGTCATCAACATCAACATCGTCGTCAACACAACTTCTTCGTGATCCTTGATCCCCCAATTCTATCGGGTGTCCGTGCCTGAAGAGTCGTTTTTATCTCGAAAATTCTCGAATAAATCAAAAAAAATGTCCGGAGATGCGCAACCAAGTTCCAATCAACGTGCTACTGACGCACACCCGCCGCCTTCGCCGCCTATAATCAAAGAAAAGGCCGCGATTGGCGCTCTTGTGAGTTTTATATCAAGTTTCTCTGTTAATTGAATATTTTTTCAACATTTACCAGTCATTTGATGCTAGACTAACTAGATTGACTGACTTAGAAACCTAGACTTATCAGATGGGCTTTAAAACCTGTAAAAAAGACCCTTTAACTTTGGAAAAATTTATTTCGGTTCCTTTGAGAGATACCAAAAAAAGTCAATTGGCAAAACATTTTCGACATTACGATAAACATTTTGTCAGTTGACACCTTTCTGGTATCTTACATAGGAACCGAGATAAATTTTGCGAAAATTGACCAACCGGGAGCCCTATTATTGGAGGTTCTCTAGCCGCCACTTTGACTCTTACTATATTGAATTTTGTGAAACAATGTATGTTTTTGATGTTTATTAGCTGAAGTTTCCGAGAAATACATCATGAATTAGTTTTTCGAAAAAAGAACGCAAAAATTAGGCCAATTTCTGAAAAAATATTCCCAGTTTTGAGTTATTCTCAAATTTAATTTTTTCCTTTTTGTAAGTTCCACGATTAGCTTTTTTTACTTCTCGACAATTTTCATTGTAAATCATCGAAAAAACAATGAAAATCGCGAATGGAGAAAATACTACCGTAATCTACAAAATATTCAACATTTCTGATTTTTTTGGGCTTTTACTGATATCCAATGGTTTCTTTTTTTCTAGAACTATATAGAAATCAAAATTTCTAGTAATGATAAAAATCGGAAAACGAACTAATACAATTATTTTTAGGTTACGGTAGTTTTCGTTCTGAGACCAATCATCGTGAGATTTTTTTTTCCACAGAACTCTTATTTTGAGACGTAAGAGGTGTCGGTCTACTGGAAAATAAATACAGTTTCTGAAAATTGATATATATTGTAATTCGTTTTATATTGAATCAGCTCATCTTCTGATAGTGAGAAAACTGATAGCCAACAAAACACAAAACACAGTAGCTCACTAGTTTTTAGAAGGAAAAAAATCATATGTAGTAAAATACAGCTTCTTGTGCTTCATACTATTGAGCGTTCAGAAATCAAAAAGGTAGGTTTTTTGGATATGAATCGTCAGTATCAGAAGCACTAAAGATATCAAATTAATGTGGTCTAAGTGAATTAATGTGGTCTTAGTATTTTTTTTTCAATTCTTTCACTCAAATATCTATCTCTTTTTAGACAAATTGAAGTGAAAATTTTCCTGTATTTTTGATTAAAAAAAAAAGCTGCTTCAAAATCCAACCTTTTTTATATTTTAGACAAAATTCTCAAGTTCCATCGAAAAAAAAACAAATTTTTTGTGACCGGAATGAAACAGTCCATAACTTTCATAGCTCACATTTTTTATGGATGAAAACTACCATGGCTAATTGTTAACTGTAAGCAAACGTTGAATTTTAGAAAAAAGCGTTGCATTTTTTTGATGCTTCAATTGCAAAGTTTGATGTATTGTATTTTTAATATACCAATTAGTGAAACGGACTCAAAAATTTTCATATTAGGACTATCGGAAAAGTGCAAATTCTCGAATAAAACATGCCAATCTTGCATTTTGAGCTCAATTATCTAAATTTCTGTAAGGGATATCACAAATTTTTGAACAACAAAATGTTGGCAATATCATGATAAACATTTTATCAGTTGACAAAATTTTGATATCTCTTATAGGAAACGAGATAATTAAACTCAAAGTGCATAGCCTCAGAGCATTTACGGTAAGCCACTTTAATAAAAGGATGAGGATGAAACTGACGGGGATGAAGTATAGTTTGCAGAAGCCAAGGTATTTTGTGAGCTATATGAAACATGAATTAAATGTTTGGTTCCATAATTGGTTTAAGTTTGAAAAAACGTTTTGATAGGTAGTTATCCAAAACCAGAAGCATCGCTGGTCCAAAAAATGCTCCCGATACAGAGAAAATAAGAAACATTGAATTTTCTCAAAAATATTACATCAAACTTAAATTGAGAGACAAATCGCAATTCTTGAAAATACCTTTTAAAAAACTATGAAGAGGCTTAGCTCACCTTTTTTGAAGTTCGTTTAAGAGCTAAACCAGCTTTAACACTGAACATTTTTTTTCGGTTTCATCTAGATTTTATTTTCTTGTTTTTTTGCATAGTTTGAAAATATGTGATAGTGAACCGAAACTGCGAACTCTGAGAAATTGATCGGTCAAGAAACTCTCAATGTCGTTTGCTCTTCTTCTTCTTCTCCGTCTTTATAACAATTGCTCTGTTCCATTCATCAATTGCTTTTAGTGTGTGATGATGATGGTTGGATGGTGGTCTAAGGGAGACGAACAGTTGGGAGAAGAAGAAGAAAGAAGGGAACATTTTTTGATGTAAAAGACACTCATACGTTCATAGTTCAAATTACACAAAATTGTGATTCATTGAAACAGTCTTTAAAACGAATAATATTTGTAAGAGGATAGTTATAGTTTAAGATAATATAGAAACTGAAAAACATTAGTCAAAAAATTTAGTTGATTTTTTCCGAAGATTCTCACTACATCAAAAAAAAACAATGTCAGATTCATAATTTTCGATTTTTTTTGGTTTGCTGAGCTGAATTCCAAAAAATTTGAAATTTTTTCCCTGTTTCTAAATTATGTTTTCTTTCAAAACTACTTTTATTCATCAATTCTTCTATACCTCTTCGACGCACAAAAAACAAAAAAAAACAATTTGGCTTAAAAATGGCACGAAATTGAAAATAAACTAATTTTTAGGCAAAAGAAGCTTCTTGAGGAGTTGAACTTATGGCCAGAATATTAATGGTACCGTAAGGTGACCGACTGAGCTACACGGTTATGATCAGCTATACTCGCTCATGAAAATTAACTTGGAGGAATCTTTGAGAATTAAAAGTTAATGTTTCACAGTGTTTTGTAAAGTTGAACATCATTTCATGGGCAGTGCAGCGATTGTCTGAAAATTACATATTTATTTTGAGTTCTTCATAAAAAAGATAATTGGCTGTTTCAAAAACTTGATATGTTTTGATGAAAATTTATGTTATAGTGCTACTGAGTTACTCAGTGTTGACAAAAATTGCAATTTTTCAGTATAAAATTAGGAAGAAGCTTCGAGAATCAAAAATATAGGTTAAAGGAGGCGAGGCAGCAAAAATTTCGGGGGACGAAATCGCGCCGCGCTTATGTACACCATCGGTCGTCAGGCGCCTTCGCGCCCCCGTAGCTCAGCCGGTAGCGGCGCTGTACCCCTGAGCTGCCTGTCATGGGGGTTCTCTATGCAAAAAATCAGGAAAACTTTTTTTTTGGTGTCTGGCCTCCTTTAATGTTTCACAGTGTTTTGTAAAGTTGAATACAATTTTCTGGGCAGAACCAGCAACGGTTCGGTTTAAAAAATCCAATATTTTGAGTTTTGAATTATCCAAAAAAGACTGTTTTGAAAACTTGATAAGTTTTGATGAGAATTGAATCGTGTAGTTGTAGAGTAGAAATCATGTAAAAAATACAGAATGATAAATGGTTCTACTAACTTTGCTCCAATTTATCTCGCTTTCTGTTGAAATATCAAACAGTTGTCAATTGAGAAAGTCGGTAGTCTAGGACTACATACTACATACCACTTTAGGAGTCCCATATTCCTTTGAGTTATTCAAGTGAATGTCCGAGACGGACACACAGACACACACACAGAAAAGTTTCCTTAGTAAGAAGTAGATAGGAACCAAGATAAATGAAGCCAAAATTAGGATGCCCTTCTATTACAGGTTTTATGTCATCAGTTTGAACTAATGCCGATACCTTCTAGTTTTTCAAACTTCTATTTTATCTAGCGGTGTTTTCTGTAAATTGCGACAAAAGGATCACATCGTTTAAATCGTCTCAAAAATTGATAGTTCTGTGAAACAGTAAACATTTTCAAACAAAAGTTTTTTTTAAAAGATGTCAATTTTTTTAGAATCTAGGTATAATTTTTAGAAATTGGTTGCAGAAAATTACCACAGTTGTTTATAAATTTTTATCACAGAAATCTCTGATTAACTTCGAAAAATGTAGTTTGCAAGTTGGATTACAATACACAATGCACTGACTCCCACAGAACATTTCCGAACTGCAAATTAAATTTTGATCTACAGAAAAAAGTTTGGCGCGATCACAATTGCAGGTCTAAAGCCATATTTTCAAAATTTTTTATCTGGTTTTGTGGTGATTCAAGATGGTTCAAATTATTCTTAAAAAATTAATTAATGGTTAAAGAATCCTGTATGGACCTTTTCCTGAAGAAAATATTCCAAAAATGACAAAATTTCCAGATTTTTTACAGAAAAAGTGTATCTCCTCTTTCAGTTTTTGACATTTCTAGAAGTTTTATAGCTCAAAAGAACCGCAATAATTTATTCTTCATTTTGAATAAATGAATTTTTGATTCGTCTAACAGAACTTTTTTTATAATCAAAAAACACAGCAAAAATGCGATTTCGTGCAATTTCGTGTGGTTTTTTGATTATAAAAAAAGTTCTGTCAGACGGGGTACCGAGCTCGAA